TCCCTGCTGGGAGCCTATAAGACCACACCCTGACTCCACCCATCTCTCTCTCTCTGTCCTGGCAGCAGCAGCCCTGCTCACCACCACACCTGCCTTCCCCTTTTTGGTTTTCTTTGTGTTATCTCCCTAGACTTTTGTTTCTGTTAATAAATTATATTAACTTTTAGTTGCCTGTTGTCCTTTATGTTGCACCTGTAGAGCCAGGGTGTAACAGCACGCTTCGAAGATAAGGAGGAGGTGGGGCGGCGGTGGCTTTGCTGGCTTCGGAAGGCCGGGATGTGGGCGTCTCCGGCTTTTAACTTGCTGTCCTGGTGGTTATTGGTGGATTGGATGTGGGCGTTTTGCTGGTGTAATGAGTTGAGGATGAGCAGGCTTGTAGATCTGGCAGCAGCGGCCGGGTCTACCACAGTGAACTTTCGCGAAGAGCTTCATTTCACTTTGGAGAGACCCAAGAGGAAAATGCAGTTAGAAGTTTATAGATTGAGTATGTTTGGCGCCCTAGGCCCGGGAGAGATGCTGATGAGTGCGGCGCTTGCTCGCACGCATAATCCCCAAAAACGGGCAGAGTTATCTTTGCGTGCCGGGACGTGAGCGCTCGCTTCACGATCAACCGGACGCTGCCTGGGACGTGAGCGCTCGCATCACGATCGATACCAGACGCTGCAGCTAGTCATCTTTGAGCGCTGGGACGTGAGCGCTCGCATCACGATCGATACCAGACGCTGCAAAGAGTTGTCTTTAAGCGCCGGGACGTGAGAACTCGCATCACGATCAACCGGACGCTGCCTGGGACGTGAGCGCTCGCATCACGATCGATACCAGACGCTGAAGCAGAGTTGACTTTAAGCGCCGGGATGTGAGCGCTCGCATCACGATCGATACCAGACGCTGAAGCAGAGTTGACTTTAAGCGCCGGGATGTGAGCGCACGCATCACCATCAACCGGACGCTGCCTGGGACGTGAGCGCTTGCATCACGATCGATACCAGACGCTGAAGCAGAGTTATCTCTGAGCGCCGGGACGTGAGGGCTCGCATCACGATCAACCGGACGCTGCCTGGGACGTGAGCGCTCGCATCACGATCGATACCAGACGCTGTAGCAGAGTTACTGTAGCAGAGTTATCTTTGAGCGCCGGGACGTGAGCGCTCGCATCACGATCGACCGGACGCTGCCTGGGACGTGAGCGCTCGCATCACGATCGATACCAGACGCTGTAGCAGAGTTACTGTAGCAGAGTTATCTTTGAGCGCCGGGACGTGCGCGCTCGCATCACGATCAACCGGACGCTGTCTGGGACGTGAGCGCTCGCATCACGATCGATACCAGACGCTGTAGCAGAGTTACTGTAGCAGAGTTATCTTTGAGCGCCGGGACGTGAGCGCTCGCATCACGATCGACCGGACGCTGTCTGGGACGTGAGCGCTCGCATCACGATCGGTACCAGACGCTGAAGTGGAGTTATCTTTAAGCGCCGGGACGTGTGCGCTCGCATCACGATCAACCGGACGCTGTCTGGGACGTGAGCGCTCGCATCACGATCGGTACCAGACGCTGAAGCAGAGTTATCTCTGAGCGCCGGGACGTGAGGGCTCGCATCACGATCAACCGGACGCTGCCTGGGACGTGAGCGCTCGCATCACGATCGATACCAGACGCTGTAGCAGAGTTACTGTAGCAGAGTTATCTTTGAGCGCCGGGACGTGCGCGCTCGCATCACGATCAACCGGACGCTGTCTGGGACGTGAGCGCTCGCATCACGATCGATACCAGACGCTGTAGCAGAGTTACTGTAGCAGAGTTATCTTTGAGCGCCGGGACGTGAGCGCTCGCATCACGATCGACCGGACGCTGTCTGGGACGTGAGCGCTCGCATCACGATCGGTACCAGACGCTGTAGCAGAGTTACTGTAGCAGAGTTATCTTTGAGCGCCGGGACGTGCGCGCTCGCATCACGATCAACCGGACGCTGTCTGGGACGTGAGCGCTCGCATCACGATCGATACCAGACGCTGTAGCAGAGTTACTGTAGCAGAGTTATCTTTGAGCGCCGGGACGTGAGCGCTCGCATCACGATCGACCGGACGCTGTCTGGGACGTGAGCGCTCGCATCACGATCGGTACCAGACGCTGCAGTGGAGTTATCTTTAAGCGCCGGGACGTGTGCGCTCGCATCACGATCAACCGGACGCTGTCTGGGACGTGAGCGCTCGCATCACGATCGGTACCAGACGCTGAAGCAGAGTTATCTCTGAGCGCCGGGACGTGAGGGCTCGCATCACGATCAACCGGACGCTGTCTGGGACGTGAGCGCTCGCATCACGATCGGTACCAGACGCTGTAGCAGAGTTATCTTTAAAGTGCGTGCCGCCACCAGAAATCCTATTGGTTCACTTACTTGCTTTGTATTGCTTTGCTGGGAGTTTACGAGGAAGCCAGTAGCCGTTGTGCAGCCAAGATGGCGGACGCGTCTGGCCTGATGTAGGCAGAGAAGGCCGAAGAGGACCAGCGCCCCAGCTGTTGCAGAGAGGTGTGGGGGAGCCCCAGCGAGGCCGCGCGCGTGGCAGCGCCTGTCCTGAAGGAGTGGGCTGTATAGAGCTGGGGAGATAATTTACAGAGGAGCAGTAGGGATCTTAGCTGAGCTCTGAACCAGGTTGCTGTCATGGGAAGAATGTCTGGAGTGAGAAAGAGAGGTCCGTTAAAATCTCCTTTTTTGCAGCGGAGGCGAGTGTAACGCATCATGGATTTGTAGGGGCAGAGAGATGTGTCCGAGCGAGCTATTACTATATTGCAGGCTTCTTTGATTTTTGAATGTTTGAGACGGAGGTTGAAATGGTCAGGGTAATAGGCCAGATCGGAGAAAGCAATGTCTAGGGCCGCATTGAACGTAGAGTGAGCAGTGGTGAACTCGCTTATGCGGAGAAAGCCATAAAAGGCGAGCAGGAAGACGCAGCGAAGGAGAGCAGACGTGTACTTGGAAAAAGAGCCGGAGTTCAGTGTGGTGCAGAGCTGTTCCAGGATGGGCAGCGTGATGGGGAGCCGGTGGTCAGAAGAGTGGGGAGCGCATTTGTTAATGCCTTTGAAGAGGAGTTTAATTGAGGGTTCCGAGAATAGAGAGGAGAAGGCGGGGTTGTGACAGCGGGCCTGAAACTGAATGCCAGAGAGCAGCGTGCGAATGTAGGTTGTTTTGTGATGGAGATTGTCTGAGCAGTGAACTATGAAGGCTATGACAGTAGATACGGATGGAGGTAATGAAGGGATGTTGTGAGCGTGGCAGAAGAGGGAATAGGTTCTCCATGCGGAGCTGTATGTAGATAGAGTAGAGGGGGAGAGGCCCTTTTTCATATAGGATGAAGCAGAGGAGAGGAGGTGTGAGAAGGAAGGTGAGACTAGTCCAGGGTTAGTTGGTCCATGGTGGGAACCGCGCGTGGCTCCGTGCAGGCTGAGGGGCAGAGGCGCCGGAACTCCTGAAATTTAAAACGAGAAAGACTGTCAGCGATTTGATTAAGGTGACCGGGGACGTGGCGTGCAGTGATTATAAAATTATTCAAAACAGAGAACCAAGTAATGCGTCTGAGAAAAGACATTATGTTAGGCGAAGAAGAGCGGCCTTTGTTTAGTGCTTCCACCACGTCGAGATTGTCACACATTACGGAGATCCTTTTTCTCCGCCACGTATGACTCCAGAGCGCGCAGGCCACGACCACGGGGTAGATTTCGTGTAAGGCCGAGGAGATGCTCCGGGGAAAAGTAGCGGGCCACGGCCCGGCGAACCACTGGTCCTGATAGAATCCCCCAAAACCCACGGAAGGGGCAGCGTCCGTGTAGAAGCGGAGATCGTCGGAGAACCGGACGATATCGTCATAAAAGAACGAAATGCCGTTCCAGCGGTCCAGCAGGCGCGACCAGAAGTCCAGGTCGGAGCGGCACCCGTCGTCCAGGGTGAGCGTGTCGTGCAGGGAGGGAACCGAACCCGCGAGGGTGAGAAGACGTGAAATAAAAGAGCGGCCCTGGGGAATGATGCGGATGGCATAATTGAGGTGCCCGAGCAGAGAGAGCAGCTCGCGTTTCGTGATGGAGGGAGGGGATAGGGCAGATTGTGACACAGCGCGCACGCGCAGGAGCTTCTCCAGCGGGAGGGAGGCCTCCATGGCGCGTGTGTCGAGGCGGATGCCGAGGAACTCCAGGGCTGTGGCAGGGCCCACGGTTTTCTCCTCGGACAGGGGGACCCCGAAGGCCGACTTCAGCCTACGGAGCGAGTCCCCGGAGCCGTCCGCGGGGGGGTCGACGAGGAGAAAGTCATCTAGGAGATGGAGGACAGAAGGGAGACGGAGGTCGTTCAACAAAATCCAGCACAAGGCCTCAGAAAGGTTGTTAAATAAGGAAGGACTGCTCCTGCAGCCAAACGTGAGGCGCGCAGCAAAATAAAAGCCGGAACGCCACTTTACTCCAAATAGGTGCCAGTGGTCGGGGTGAATGGGCAGCAGCTTGAAAGCGTCCGTGATGTCCGCTTTAGACAGCCAGGCCCCAGGGCCGAAGGCCTTCACGAGCCGGATTGCGTGATCCACACTGTAAACCCTGACAAGTAAAGTTTACTTGAAAAGACCATGGAAATAAATTGCGTATTAACTTCACTTGAATTCCTCGAGTACATCCTTTACTTGATATTACCAAGTAACCCAAGTGATTGCAATAAAGTTTAAATTTCTGCTTGTGCTCTGACCGGGATTCGAACTCAGAATCCTGTAGTTGAGAGGCAATGGTGCTACCCACTCAGCCACCAAGCCACTCTGCCATTGTCACACCTGCCTCATTAAAGAGTCTACACGTCAAAATGTCAAAAGTGAGGCTTACTTGAACAGAAACAGTTCAATTCAAAGAAAACCCTGAGTGACATAGGCAATCTTTAAATAAACTAACAATAAATGAGTAATATTTACTTACTGGGAAATATCTATTTAAAATAACTTTGATATCTGAAGTACAATTGAAGTTAGGGTTTACAGTGCACGGTGGCGTACTGCAGGGAGAAGGGCTCAAGAGGGATGAGACTGTTAATGCTCGGAACGGGTCCGGAGCGGGGGTGGGATAAATCAAATATAAGGCGCTTCTTCCCGGAATACTTGCGTGTGGCAACTCCCAGCGGGCTGGAGCGAAACGGGAAAAAGGGGGGCCTGGAAAAGGGGCCGATGATGTAGCCCTTGTGCACCTCCCGGGCGAGGAGCTGCGTGACCACGAGAGGCTCGCGGAGAGCAGATTGCAGGTTGCGGGCCACGTAGGACGCCGAGGGGAGAGCCGCCACTCCAACATGGAACCCCCGGGCCAGGCCTGTCAGGAGAAAGTCAACAAAGGCCCGGTCAGGATGGGGCGCGAGCGCGCGGGCCAGCGCGGGCACGGAGACTGGGGTTGAGAGGTGGGAGGTGATCAAGGCCTGGACGAAGGCCCCCCGGAACCGCGGCCCTGGCGGGGGCTACGGGGGCACACGGAACGTGGATGGGCCTCCCTGCAAACACTGCAAATGTGGAGATAACAGCAAGATGAAAAGTTACACGTGCCAGCGTTGAACGAACGGCACACACTGTTCAGATCGTATACCTCCGTTTTGGGAAATGAAGGCCCACGGGGCCTAGGAAACTGACCAGCGGCGGCGTCGAACGGAACGGAAGGGCAGAGGGGAGAGCTGTGGCCGGCCGCGTCGCACCGGGAGCAGGAGACCGCGGGGGCACTTCCAACGGACAACAGCAAGACCTCCGTGTCCAGGACCGCCCAGTCCACTCTGACATTAGCCTGGGAGACGAGGGCCGCGGCCTTGGCGGCGAAGGCCCGATGGTAGCGGTAGAAATGAGAACCGCCGTAGCGGAGGGCCAGGTCTCCCATTAGGCCCAGATATGCATCCAGCTCGGGCCTGCGCTCGGGGTACACTGAACACAGGACGTCCCGGTACACGCCGAAGGCCACGAGAAACTCCCCGATGGATAGCTCCCGCGAGAGGCGGGGATCAGCAGCCGCAGTGACCAGGGAGGAGGCCGCCACCTGCCTGTCACACTCGGGGGAGGGGAGGATGAGGGAGACCAAATTGATGTAGCGTCCCAGCAATATTTTTGACCGCAGCCGCGGGGAAACGTTTGAGTAGGCATTGATAAAGGGCCTACCGGACGCCGTAGCCGCCACGGCCGTGGAGAGGGTGAAACCGACGTCCAGGGAGTCGCCGGGAGGCGCAGCGGCGGGAGTGGCCACCGGAGCCACGGCGGGGGTGGGAGGTTGGGTTTCCACGACGCGGAGCCGGCCGGACACTGCGGCCACCGAGCTCTGGAGAGATGACACCGCCGACAGGATGGCGTCCGTGCGCGCGCACAGGAGTTCACGGTCCTGAGCCGCAGCTGCCACATGGGCCGCGAAGGCTGCCGCGAAAAGATCCGGCTGGGGAGGGGGCACGGGGGCGGCCCGGGAGACGTCGATGGGACGAGGCGCTGGGGGAAGCAGGGGCCCGTCGAGCGCAGAGGAAGGGGGGCAGGCACGCGTCGGCGGCAGGTGGTTGGCCTTACGACGACGCTTGCGAGGAGGGGAGTCCGGAGCTGGGGGGGGGAGGCGGAATCCGCTGACAGCTGCTCCACGAGGCGCTGGAGCTGCAGCGGGGTAGCATCCGGACCTGGCACGACGCCACGGGCCGTGAGGAAGGTGAGGACGGACCCAGCATCCTGGGACGCCAGGCGCGCGCTCTTCCGGGACCGGTCGGGCACAGGCGAGGGGGGAACGAACAGGTCGTTCAGAGAACTAGGCGAAGAGCCCGAAGCAGACGGGGGCGCACGAGCGCGAGGCGAAGAACGCATGGCAGACAGGTATAATACACTGACAACACTTTGCTGGCTTCGGAAGGCCGGAATGTGGGCGTCTCCGGCTTTTAACTTGCTGTCCTGGTGGTTATTGGTGGATTAGATGTGGGCGTTTTGCTGGTGTAATGAGTTGAGGATGAGCAGGCTTGTAGATCTGGCAGCAGCGGCCGGGTCTACCACAGTGAACTTTCGCAAAGAGCTTCATTACATACATACCTGAAAATCAGTGTGGCTCCTGCTGTTGCCTTTGTACATAAGCTTGTTAAGTTCACTTGTGTGTGTGATTTTTATGTTATTTCATGATACTTTCATGATGATAAATATCATGTTATTTCATGATACACAACTATCATGTTATTTCATGATACCAATTGATTGTTATTTCATGATACCATTTTATCAGAAGCTGACAGCTTCTTCTTCTTCTGTATCTACAGTATCATGTTATTTCATGATAAATTGGTATCATGAAATAACATGATATTTATCATGTTATGAACAAATGTGAACCAATGTGAAGCCAGGGAACTCATGTTCAGGTTTTAATTGATCATTATTGATCATTATTGGTGTAACTGGTAGTAATGCAAATGGAGACTCTTTTAAATACTGTATATCATTGTTGAAAAATACTTGCATGTGATAATACGGAGACAAATGGTCAGAAATATGTATTATGAAAATGAAATATAATTGAACATCTGTAGTCCATATAACTTATTTCTTTCTCCTTGCAGTTCTCCCGGAGTGGTTCGGGAGCATGGAGGCGTTGGATGGGATGGATCTGGACGGTTTGGCCTCCTCTGCAGCGCTGCTCAACTCAAGCCTTGAATCCGTTTTCAACATCTCCAACATCACCTTCTTTCCCTATTACCAGCACACACTCACTATAGCAGTCACCTATATCGTGGCGTACTTCTTCATCTTTGTGCTGTGCATGATGGGAAACATCCTGGTGTGTCTGATTGTGCTGGAGAACCGCCGGATGAGGACAGTGACCAACTTGTTTATACTGAACCTGGCCATCGCCGACCTGCTGGTGGGCATCTTCTGTGTGCCCATCACTCTAGTGGATAACCTCATCACAGGTAACAGAGCAGAGAGCAGGTTCCTTTATTTGTTCACTTTCTAAGATGAAAGACCCCCTTGAAGAAAGAAAAGTATTTTACAATGTGGTTTTTTTCTAAGTTATGGCAGCGTTAAGAACTGAGAGCTACAGTAGCTCAGTTGGTAGAGCACTGGCCTTAGAGCCTGAAGGTTGTGAGTTCCCCACGAGATCTTCTCCACCGACTCCCACTGATGTCTGCTGTAGTTGTGTACTTGAAGCCCCCACTGAAAGATCAAGGCTGTGTTGTCACTGAGAGCAGCCATCCTACTGTGGACTCACCACCTGCAGGAGGATCAGTGAGGGGCTGGTGCTCTGTGTACTGGGTAGAGCTCTGACTGCCACCCCCCCGACCCAGAAATGGATTAAGGGGAAGAAAAATCTGTATGTTTTTTAAATGTGAAGTGCTTTGTGAACCTGGTCTGTGAAAGGCGCTATACAAATACACTTAACTTACTCACTAACTCCGTAAATCGTACATATATATACATATACATATACATATATATATAATATGTATATGTATATGTATATATATATATATATCAGTGAATGTCTCAGGCAGTGGCGAGATGAGGAGGTGCTGGAGGAGAGCCCATCATGGGAGAACAAGCCCCTACACGGCATGTACCACCGGAGCATAACAGAAGTGGCTGATCTCAAGAAGTCCTACCAATGGCTAGAAAGGGCTGGCCTACAGGACAGCACAGAGGCACTCATCATGGCTGCACAGGAACAGGCACTGAGCACCAGAGCGATAGAGGCCCAGATATACCACACCAGACAAGACCCAAGGTGTCGGTTGTGCAAAGAGGCACCTGAGACGATCCAACACATAACTGTAGGGTGCAAGATGCTGGCAGGGAAGGCCTACATGGAACGCCATAACCAAGTGGCTGGCATAGTGTACAGAAACATCTGTGTAGAGTATGGGCTGGAAACCCCAAGGTCTAAGTGGGAAACTCCTCCAAAGGTGGTGGAAAATGAGCGTGCAAAGATCTTGTGGGACTTCCAGATACAGACCGACCGAATGGTAATGAACCAACCTGACATCGTGGTGGTAGACAAAGGGCAGAGGACAGCCGTGGTGGTGGACGTGGCAATTCCAAGCGATGGTAACATCCGGAAAAAATAACATGAAAAGCTTGATATACATCAGCATGTATCCCATGCACAGCTGTGACTGCTGTGTCGCCCTGTGGCTCTCGGCTCACTCAAACACATCAGTGGCACTGCTGTGCTTTTGGTGTTCAGGGGAACAGCCAGGATTTATCTGAGCCGCTGTCGTTCAGGCCTCAAGGCATCTCCATAAGAGGGGAAGAGGCTGTCTGTGGAGGCCAGGGCCTGTATATATATATACATATATATATATATATATATATATATACATATATATATATATATATATATATACAGGCCCTGGCCTCCACAGACAGCCTCTTCCCCTCTTATGGAGATGCCTTGAGGCCTGAACGACAGCGGCTCAGATAAATCCTGGCTGTTCCCCTGAACACCAAAAGCACAGCAGTGCCACTGATGTGTTTGAGTGAGCCGAGAGCCACAGGACGACACAGCAGTCACAGCTGTGCATGGGATACACAGCCTGTCACAGTGCTGCCTTTACATTTGTTATGTAATAGATCAATAAATGGTTGTAAAATACATAGCACACAAACAGAGGATTTTATAACCAGTGTGTAGGCAGATGAGGGTTACAGATCAGACCTACGCTTTGTCAATAAAGTTTCATTTCTACTTGAACAACTGCATTAATCCTGTCTTTGTGTTCTCCATGAACACAGGTCAAATAGAGTCGTTTTGGCAAACAATACTCCAGCTGATGGAGGTCTGTGCAGAACAGCTGCAGGAAACAGTTTCATCTCAAACTCAGAAGGCTTCACTTTCTCCAGATCTTATTCTCATAGATGCCATAAGCTTCTATGGGAATCAGTTAGGGCAACTTCACAACCATCTATGATTATTTAAATATTGATGTGCTAATTCATAGAGGAACATTTAAAAAATTTTATTTATAGGATTGATTTGAATTAGTGCTGTCCAACGATTAAAATATTTAATCGCGATTAATCGCATGAATTTCATAGTTAACTCACGATTAATCGCAAATTAGTCACACATTTGCGTGCTGTGTGCAATTGCTTTTTTTATTGAAAACAATGTGTAGTGTTATATTACACACTAACATTTGATGCAAAATCATCAATAAATGGATGACAAAATAAATAATTGGTAACAAAAAGCCCCTTCAATGTGTGTGTGTGGGTGTGTGTGTGTATGTGTGGGTATAGACCATAGACTGTATAGAAACATCATGGTGTCATTATGATGATGATAAACAATCTGTAAATATTTTGTAAATTTGTTCATGTAAATACTCTATGCTGTTTCTCTGTTTACCTTCGGTATATCTATGACTGTATACTGTTTGCTTGTATTGCCTTTTTTATTAACCCCTCCCCCCATCTCCCACTTCATGTCCCTCCCCTCCTATGTGCCCTTCTGGGTTTCTTCTTTGGCCCCCTGTATCTCCAACTACATATTGTTTGTAATCTCTGTCTACAATGTATCTGAACTAGTCCTTTTCTTTGTTTTCTATGTGTTTGTCTGCAATAAAAAGTAAAAAAAAAAAAAAAAAAAAATCTTTTTTTTTTTTTTTTTTTTTTTTTTATCGCGCGATAAAAAAAATGACGGCGTTAATATTGATTTGCGTTAACGCGTTAATAACGCGCTATTTTGGACAGCCCTAATTTGAATGCATCTGTATCTGCACTGCTATTGCCACTCTCTTTTATTGCCACATTCTATCTATATAAAAAAGAAAAGCTCCTCTTCCGTGTAAAATGGATACATTTAGTCTCTGTAAAGATGGTTTTAATGACTTAAACGTTTTTGGATGATGAACCAAGTATTGCAGTATTCTATACATAGACTAGAATCATCCTCTTGCTTCTCATAAACATGAAATAGGCAGAGATTTCTTGCAGAAGACACTCCATAAACCCAAATTCATAGAAAAATCCTATTCTATCCTCCTCTTTCCTTGTGCTTCAATGCACAATGTGTTAAGAAACACCCTTTAAGAGGCCAGGTTTGGTCAGGTAAATCTTGAGACCTTTTAAAGAATGATTTGATGCCATTTGGGTCAGGATCCTTCCCCTGTTGAGGTTGAGTCCTCTCTAAAGTGTCCTTGACACCTGCGTGAGGCGAGAGAGTCGCCTTTGTGTACACATTGCATGTTTCTCTCGTCAACCAGAAACAATCAGCTTTGGTATCCTCCAGTGATCACCATGAGATGGGTCACCAGCCACCACTGCTCCTGACAGGTTAGCCCAGGAGGGTCACATTCAGAGGAAGAATTTCCCTAAAGGGATTTACAGTATAATCATTCATGGTATACCTGAATCTCTTTTGACATTCAAAATGCATTTGCACGTTCCTGTTGTATTTTTGTCAGCAACACAGAGATACTATGGTTGTGTGTTTCAGGCTGGCCCTTCTCCAAATCGGTGTGTAAAATGAGCGGATTCGTTCAGGGCGTGTCTGTGTCCGCATCGGTCTTCACCCTAGTGGCCATTGCTGTTGAAAGGTAAGTGGTTATCATTCATTTTATTGTCCAGTGGTGGCGATCAGTGCCATCAGGACCTCTGCTGGCCTAAACCCCAAACCAAACATTTCATTTGTACATATTTTGTCCCTAAAATATGTAGCCTAATAAATTCATAGAATGTTACATAAAGAATATCTTTTTCATGTCTACAATTGAAGAACTTCTGAGAAGAGCATTATTTTTCCTAATAGCTTTGTCTTCTGCTTTTCATGAGTCATTTAAAGGAGGTCAAAACTGTCTTTAATTAGAAACAAAGTAACTTGGATGGTTTCCTAGGTTACTGGTGACCAGCAGATCCCACCTGAGACGTGTATACAGTCCGTGGAGGACAGCATAATGAGCTGCTCCATTGTTCCACTGCAGGAACAATCACAGCTGACACCTAATTCACATAGCACTGGCCCTACATAGGAGTGGTAGGAAGAAAAATAGTGTATATAAAATGCATACCATGTTAAAAAAGGGGTCTGACAAAGCAGCAGTTGAACCACTAGAACTGCAATAACATGTCACACCACACTCAAACCCATTTCCTTAAGTATTCAGATTAAGACTGATTAAGACCTGCCTTAGACCCTCCTGCATCAGCCAGGAACAACTCAAAAACCCAGTAGGAGAAACTAGAAGCTGTAGATCCAGGACACTTACTATGAGCAAGAGGGGTGGAACCAAAAAAGAAAAAAAAAACATTCAAACTGTATTTGAAAGTTTTCTGAAATCAATGCATTGTGTGTGTGTGTGTGTGTTGCAGATTCCGTTGCATTGTGTACCCCCTGCTGCCCAAACCCACCATGCTGATCTCTAAAGTTGCCATTGTCCTCATTTGGGTTCTTGCAGTGGCCATCACCACTCCCACAGCCATAGCCCTCACTGTGGAGCTGGTCCCAAACCACTACATGATTTACAACAACACCACCATCCCCCTCTACTCCTGCTTCGAGAACTTCAGCAACCCGAAGATGAGCAAAGTCTACACAGCTGTCCTCTTCACACACATATACCTAGTTCCGCTGACCTTTATCACAGTCATGTATGGAAGCATCGGAGTAAAGTTGTACTCTTCGATCGTGGCCAATCGCGAACCACCACTCGCAAACCGCACCGTACAAGTCCGCTGCAGAAGGAATGGGCAACATATGATCTCTCAGAAGAAAATTCGGGTGATCAAAATGCTCATTGTGGTAGCGTTGCTGTTTCTGCTGTCTTGGTTGCCGCTCTGGACTTTGCTAATGATGGCTGATTTTGCTGGATTGGACAGGGATCAAATAGATTTACTTACCAGCTATATTTTCCCATTTGCACATTGGCTGGCCTTTTCTAACTCCAGCGTTAATCCCATTATCTACGGCTACTACAATGAAAACTTCAAAAGGGGTTTCCAAGCCATGTGTAAGTCCAAGCCGTTCTGTTGCTGGGCACAGTGCAGAGTGTGTGGGGTGTGGAGGAGATTGAAGGGGTTGAGCAGGAGGAAAAATAAAAAAGATCAGAAAAGTAACGGAGGGAGCAGCAACTCAAAAGATGGGACGAACCATCACCTTGTCATGAACGTGAGAAATCGGGTGCACAACGACGATAAGCTGACAGACTCGGTAGAATCCAATAAGAGCGCACGGCTGGAATGTGTGGTGGTCCACTCTGATAAAAACAGTCTGGAGGAGGCGGGCTTGCAGAAGCAACTGGGAGCCAACTACCAGGAGTTTGCAAAGCGACGGAGCCCTCCAGGACTGTCCCTCTATCAGGCCTGGGACACATAAGAACAACCAGCAAAACATCCATGGAAAGTTCCATCGACTACTATACTACTACTGGACTATAAAAGTGCACCTGTATATAAGCCAGAGCACCAATATTTTAAGAAAATCTATTTTGTCCACATATGGGCTTGGATATGAGAGGCAGATATTTATGCTGTTATGAAGTGGATAGACAATCCAGGTGTGTCTGATAGATACTAACACTGGATTAAGTCTATATAATTATGTTATTATGATATAATATGTCCATAAACTCTGCTCTGATGACTCTAAACACAATAAGAAATACACCTATTAGCCGCATAGCTATATAAGCTGCAGGGTTCAAAGAACAAGAAAAAAATAGCGGCTTATAGTCCAGAAATTATGGTCTATACGCCACAAAACAACACTACCCAAGGACCAAAGAGTCTGCTGTTGAATTACTTCACGGTTGGAGCACATTTGTACCATTGGGCAAAGTGTTCTTTTTACCAAGAGCATGAGAGAAGAAGGTCTAAGGTTCTGAGTGTTTGGCTCTGGCTACAACACTGAGCATGTTCTTTTACTAATGTCTCATTCACTACACGCTTGATGCAAAATGTTGTGCACATAAACATGTTGAGAGATCTGGATGCATCTCAAACTGGACCATTGAAACGGTAACCCGACATAAGTGTGTCATGAGAATGCATGCATAGAAAACCAGTCTCTTTTATTCCTTTTAGTAGCTGCTGTTTGAGTAAGTGCTGCTTTCGTGCTGGATACAACACAGGTCTGGAGCCTGACTATCCTATGAGTGAGTGGCAGATGTATAGAGCACTCCTGCTTCTCAAGATGTTGTCATAATAAAAACAACTCTAGTTTTTATTTATTTATGATTATTATTTATTTGACAGGGACAATGTTGTCATACATAGTTACATGATAAAAGATGCAGCTGAAGCGACACATACAGAGTGTGTAGCTAATGCTGATTTTCAACAAGTTCAGTGAGCTAAACATATCATTTCTTCTCAGCCAACGCCTTTGGAAAAGAATATTACGAGCTAAGTCGTAGAGCTAAGGGGAGGGCTAGGGCAGTGGTCTCAAACAAGCAAAGGTATACTGTGGCCCCCGAGTGGACATCAAACTTTAATGTCAGAGAGGCCCCCACTGAGAGTCTGTGAAAATATGTTAAACATAATCTTAAAGAAAACAACCACACCATTATTTTACCAAACCCTGACTGCAACAAACAAACTGATATTCAAAACAAGTAAAGGAATGATTACAAAGTCACAGATACAAACAATTAACTACAACAAACTCCACAAAGGCTTAATTATCTTGTTTTTGTCTCTGCTCTACAATCCACACGTTTACTTTCTCTGTAGTGTTGAAAAAATATCTCCATAAATCTGTGTGCTCCGATGTTCCATACACTTAAACAAAGCAATTACAGTACATCAGAGCACCTGTATATCAGAGCACCTGTACATCAGAGCACCTGTATATCAGCACACCTGTACATCAGAGCACCTGTACATCAGAGCACCTGTACATACGTGCACTTGTATATCAGAGCAGCTGTACATCAGTACACCTGTACATCAGCGCACCTGTACATCAGAGCACCTGTACATCAATACACCTGTATATCAGAGCACCTGTACATCAGTACATCAGTGCACCTGCACATCAGAGCACCTGTACATCAGAGCACCTGTACATCAGAACACCTGTACATAAGTGCACTTTTATATCAGAGCAGCTGTACATCAGTACACCTGTACATCAGCGCACCTGTACATCAGAGCACCTGTACATCATCCATCCATCCATCCATCTTCTACCCTTTAATCCATTTCTGGGTCAGGGGGGTGGCAGTCAGAGATGCCACCCAAGTCTCATAGCACCAGCCCCTCACTGACCCTCTGCAGGTGGTGAGTCCACAGGAGGACGGCTGCTCTCTGAGTGTGAGCATAGCCTTGATCTTTCAGTGGGGGCTTTGGGCAAAGTGGGGTTAAGTGTATTGCCCAAGGACAACACCTGTACATCAGTACACCTGTATATCAGAGCACCTGTACATCAGAGCACCTGTACATCAGAGCACCTGTACATCAGTGCACCTGTACATAAGTGCACCTGTACATCAGTGCACCTGTACATCAGTACACCTGTACATCAGTGCACCTGTACATAAGTGCACCTGTACATCAGTACACCTGTACATCAGTGCACCTGTACATCAGTACACCTGTACATCAGTACATCAGCACACCTGTACATCAGCGCACCTGTACATCAGTACACCTGTACATCAGTACATCAGTACACCTGTACATAAGTGCACCTGTACATCAGAGCACCTGTACATCAGCACACCTGTGATGCGGTCGCTGTAGTTACTCTCTAAAGAAAGTAACTTATTTACTTTATTTTGCATTACTTTTGTGTAACTGATTATGCTCGACTTTGAGCAGAGCTGTTGTTAAATGTGTTGTGGAAGTTCTACTTTAAAGATCCACAGATATTTCTTTCATGCTCTTTATGGACAAAACGTCAGAGCCAGTAACATGAGGCTGTTGTATCTCATGAACACAGCTCTCACTCTGAGCCTGATCTCGTTTACTCGAGTACCTCAGCGTCTGCGCTAAAGGACGCTGCATCCTCCTCCTCATCAGAAGAAAAAAAGTCAGTGTCGGGTGAAGTGCGACACACGCGATGAGCAGCGCCACCACCAGCGGCCTCTTGCTTCACGCACCATGTGTCACATACCATGTGTCAGACACCATGGGTCACGCACCATGTGTCAGACACCATGGGTCACGCACCATGGGTCACACACCATGGGTCACGCACCATGTGTCAGACACCATGGGTCACGCACCATGGGTCACGCACCAGGTGGAATGAAAACTGAGTGGAATTGTGACTGATCCTCAAGCCCCAGCAGATGAGTGTCACAGCTGCCCATGGTACATAAAAAGTAACATTGTGGCGGATCAAAAAAGAAACGCTGTTAAGTTACAATATCGATAGTTAACGCGTTCCCCAGGAAAAGTACTTTGTAACTTTTAACCATGTTACACCCAACACTGGTGGGCAAGAAGGAGCTGAGCCGAAAGGCAAAGCTCTCAATTCACCAGGCAATCTGCGTATCTTGTTCTCTCGGTAATGACCGAAAGGATGAGATCGCGAATACAAGCGGTCGAAATGAGCTTCCTCTTGAGTGGCTCGGCGCTTCCTCAGAGATTGGGTGAGTTCAGTCACACGGGAGGAGCTCCGAGCAGAGCCCTCGCCTCTTCACGTTGAGACAAACCAGTTATAGCGGCTCAGGCTTCAGTTTCTGACGCCTTCTGGACACGTTGGAGGGACGTCTCCCAGCTGGCTTGGGAACACCTCGGGATTCCTCCAGATGAGTTGAGAAGTGTGTGGAGGGATGTGTCTGGGTTTGTCACCTTAGACTGCTACCCCCGCGACCCGGCAATGGATGAAGCAAAAGAAAATGGATAGATAGACGTTCATTATAGAAGTAACAGACTTTAAGATGTTTATTTCAGAACATGAAAACAAATCCAAAACACACACACAAACACTCTCTGACCAAACACCCCTCACACACAAATGACTCAATAACAAACAATGTCAGATTCAAATTTTCTTTTATTTGTGTTAAAAAATGAAAAAATGATGCGCTTTTTGTGCCTTTGTGATCTACCTCCTCATTACTACCTCACCCAACATTCTTCTGCTGTCGATGCACTTGGCACGTTCCACCAGGTAAAACCCGTTTTGTGGTGAAATATGATGTGGTTTTATTAACAGTGTGTGTATAAAGTGTACTTATTTTATCAAAACCAGTTTATAGAAAAATACATGAACAATGTTTTGGTTTCAGTGACAGCCACAATATTAGGTTGGATGGATGTTACGGACTGCAAAGTTATGCATTGCAAAATGATTCTGATGAAAAGTAACATTAATACTGTATAAAATGGATTTTTGCATAAATAAAAGGCAGAAGGGGATATTGCAAGTTTGCAAGTTTTTCAATTCCTTTGAGAATTCTATTTGCGGCGTATTGTGAAAAGCAACACAGAATATTAACCTGCCAATTGATAAAAATGGTGACCAAATATTGTGGCTAAAATCAAATGAAACGTATACTTTGATTTATTTTATGCTAAAACTTTGAGCGTAAGGAATTTGTGATCAAAATATGCAATGTGTGTGTGTGTGTGTCCGCTCAGGTTTGACCAGTTATTTGCGAATGTCTCAAATATCTTGGACAATCTGTTGTTCAGGAGAAACATTTAAACACAGGTATGTAACGGCCTTTTTCTAAAGCTTTTTGAAATTTCACAAAAGACCAGCGCTGGAAAAATCAAGGCCAGCAGAATAGAACAGAAGCTTTGTTTTGTTGGATGCTGAGGATGCTTTTGTGCAGGTGAAGAATACTGACTTACTACTGAGCTACTGATCAGTCTGAAAGCAGGACTCATTTTAAAGTCAATTATCTTTAGGAAACTGTTTTAGTTGTTGAAACTATACTTAAATTAATTATTGCCTTCTGAAGTTGTCCCCCGAAAAGACCAATTTACTGTGCTTCAGGAAGTAAGTTTATGTGCTCACTATAAATAAAGATAGGACATATATTTTACGAATGTAACTTCAGAAGTAGGGCTGACAAACGATTATTTAAATAGTGTTTTTTAAATGTTTTATAAAAATTTACCTGTATACAGTAGACGTCTGTGTAACTAATTCAGTATTTGTGTTCAAAGCATTGTATTCAACTTGATTGTGAAGAGCCATAATTAACTTTCATTATTTTTGATTTCCAAGACCAAGGTGTTGAATGTTCTGTAAATTCTATGTCTATTGTTTTGTTTGTAGCATTCCTGCAGTTGTCTAAACGTTTTCTTTGGAGAAAAGCTAAATGCATGTCGTACAGTAGCCGTGTTGCCCGTCTCCAGGAGCTGTGGGCTTTATGTCATGTGGCTGTACAGTACTATTGATGTGATGGTGGTGCAAAT